GGGTCCAGGCCACCGGGCCGCGGCCTCCATCCCTCGCTAGGCCCGCCGGGCCCGCCGCCCGCAGGCCGAACCGCCCGCCGAGTCCGCCACTACCTTGGTGATCATGTGGCTGGTCGGCTCTTCTTCCTCTCTTCCTCTCCTGTCTCTTTTACAGCCTACTCCTTCATTGATCCCTCTGCTTCTCTCACAGAAACCTCTCTTCTTCTCCTCTCTCTTTCTCCTCACTGCTTCTCTCACAGAGGTCTCTCCTCTTCTCTCTTTCTCCTCATTGCTTCCCTCACAGAAGCCTCTCCTCTTCTCCTCTCTCTTTCTGCTCACTACTTCTCTCACACAAGCCTGTCCTCTTCTCCTCCCTCTTTCTCCATCCCCTTCTCTTTCCCCCTTGTCTTTTTTTCTCTCCCTCTCCCACCAAAACCTCCTTCTTTTATATCCTCTCCACTCTCAAGGAGAGCTCCAGCATCGGTCACTACCTCAGTCTCACTCCCCCATGCAGTCACCCACTCCCCAGCTGGCCATTGCACACAGCGCTGATCAGCTGGAACTGCATACACCAATCCTGGGGCCTTTGCAGCTCTGACTGACTCTCTCACCCCAAGGTCAATCTGCTGCTTCCGGTGATAGCCGAGGCTGCCGGAAGCACCAATCAGGTGGAGCTGCATGTGCTGATCCTGGGCCCTCAGCAGAGCCTTGGCAAGACCGCAGCTCCAGCTGAATCTCTGCCCCAAAACTGCGTGTGGCTATCAGCCACCCCCAAGGCTGCCGGAAGCACTGATCAGCTGAAACTGCATGCGCCAATCCTTGGCTCTCAGTAGAGCCCCAGCAACACTGTGGCTCCAGCTGACTCTCCTCCAGGCCTCGTTGGAGCTGCCGCCACTTCAGCTCATCCCCCCCCCATACACTTGTCTAAGTCACGTACAACATGCCAAGTGCCAAAGTACCACCAGTGATATGCATACCACTGGTTGAAAAGCCCTGCTTTATAGGTCTTGGATATGTTTCTTATATCTCCTAGTTTGTATCTGGGTTTTCCATGCTTTCCATCACTTCACTGTGTTTTTTCTTTTTTTCTTCTCCTTTCTCTTTACTTCTTACTTCCTTATGTGATTGGTTATCTAGTGGTTTTTGCCTGGAATCAGGTTCTAAACAAAGTTTAGGGAATCAGTCATGAAGATTCCACCCCCCTTCCCCATCAATTATAAACAGAGGCATAGAATCAAGATCATGTGAAGTATTAGTACTGCTTTATAAAACCCTAGTGAGACCACACCTGGAATACTGTAGCCAGTTTTGGCCACCATACTACAAAAAAGATGTTGAGACCTTGGAAAAAGTTCAGAGAAGAGCAACTAACATGATCCAAGTCCTGGAGACTAAAACATATGAAGAACGGCTGCAGGAGTTTGGTTTGGCTAGTCTAAAGAAAAGAAGAAATAGGGGTGACATGATAGCAGTATTCCAGTATTTGAGAGGCTGCCACAGAGAAGAGGGGGTCAAATTATTCTCCAAAGCACCTGAGGGCAGAACAAGAAACAATGGTTGGAAACTGACCAAAGAGAGAAGCAACCTGGAATTAAGGAGAAACTTCCTAACAGTGAGGACAGTTAACCAGTGGAATAGCTTGCCTTCAAAAATCGTGGGCACTCCATCACTGGAGGTTCTTAAGAAGAGACTGGACAGTCATTTGTCTGAGGTGGTATGGGTTCTCCTGCTTGAGCAGGGGGCTGGACTAGAAGACCTCCAAGGTCCCTTCCAGCTCTATTCTATTCTATTCTATTCTATTCTACTCTACTCTACTCTACTCTACTCTACTCTACTCTACTCTACTCTACTCTACTCTACTCTACTCTACTCTACTCTAATTTTAGTTTAAAGTTCTTCTGATAAGATGAGCCAGTCATTTTCCAACTATATTCTTTCCAATTCTTGTGAGGTACAGTCCATCCCTTGCCAGGAGCCCTTCATGTAAGTAAAGCACACCATGGTCTAGGAAGCTGAAGTTCTGTTGATGACACCAGTTTTTAAGCCAGTGGTTCGTTTCTAAAATTCTTTGCTCTTTTATTGGATGTTGGCCTTTTGTTGGAAGTATAAATAGAAGTTGGAAGTACAGATGAAAACACCACTTGTGTGCCTAATTCTTTAACTTTCTTCCCTAGCTGTTTGTAATATCTTGTTATTGTTTTTAGATTCATTGTTGTGTCATTGGTCCCCATGTGTAGAAGAAAAGGGTAGTAATCTATGGGGCTGATTATTTTAGTAAGTTTCTCAATTACATATTTGAGTTTTACTCCAGGGAGATAACATACCCTAGATTCACTGTTCAATCTGCAGACTATAGTTTGTGTTCTCCAAAGAACTGAATTTCCTGTCACCAATATTCCCCTTTTTTCCTAGGGAAGTCTGGGATATTATTCTTCCTGTCACAGGAATGCTGGGTTGTGTCTCCTTTTTAGAAACTATTGATGACTGCTCTTTTATAGGTGTCTGCATATTTTCTTCCAGGGGGAGACTATGAAAGCAATTGTTCAGTTCCGGAGAGGCTTCACTAGAGTAGGCTAGGGTAGATACGGTAGTAGGGGCTTTATTCTTGGTTGCTGTTTTCTTCTAAAAGTGACCTGTTTCCATCAGTCTTTCTCTTTAGGTTCATATATAGGATCATTTTTTTCAGAAGCTGCTTGTTCCCTATTGTGTTCAATTTGGGTGTATCAGTTTTCTTCTTTTTGTTCATATATTGGATCATTTTTAGAAGCTGTTTGCTGTCTATGGTGTTTAATTTTGGTGTAGTCTTCTAGTTTAGGTTGTGGAGTCTCACTTTGTTCATTGAGTTTCAGAGTTTCAACATTGCTTCTAGACCCTTTACTTTTTATTCTAGTAATATGATTTACATTTGATACATATATAGTTTAGGTCTTCTGTGGGCATAAGCTCAACATATGACATATTTTGCAAGTCACTATAATGTCAGTCTCTACTATATGCCCGTGATTTTTTTGTTTGCTAAAAAAACATTTTCCCTGTTGCAAAGTATGGGTTTACAGTAGTTTACAAAAGTTCTTGACCCTTTGGACTCAGCCTGAATGCATGATTAAGGCCACAGTATAGTGTTCTTTCAAAGGATAATTTTATTTTTACCTCTCTTTTGGAAAAGTCCTTTCTTATGTGATAATGAAAATGCACCTTTCTTCTCTTGATTCTCGGCACCTGCCAAATAGATAGAGATTGAAGACTACTTGGTTTGAGATCTCACACATAACAGCAAGGTTTCAAAGATATTCCTAATTTATCACCCCTTATGGACTTTTTGCTGAAACAAGAAAAACATTAACTTGCACTTTATGAGTTTGATGATAAGAAAGTGTAGACTATGGAAAGAAGGAAATCATGTTGTAATTTTAGAGGACATAAATATAAATATACTTGTAACGCTACTGGAGATGTTACATAGCCTAATAACGAAATATTTGGAAACCAACTCACAAGCTCCAAGAACAAACCTTCACCCTCATCCTACACCCGAACTACAGATATTCACCACTATTGCAAATATACTTGTAACTGCTGTTAATAAGCTTGGAAGCCACTTCTTTATAATCTTTGATTTCCTTTTCCTTTCTCTATTTCTTTCTTTGCACTTTTTCACTTATTAATTCCTTTCCTTTCCTTACTTTTTCCTTTTAAAATGTGTATTATCTTTATTCATTTAAAATTTTCTTTAATAAAAATTATATACAGAGAGATAATTTAGTATCATGTATGGAGAGCAGGCCTTAGAGCACAGCTCTGATGACTGAGTTGTATTCCCAATACATGGGCATAGATACACACACAAAAATGAAAAATAGTTCTGCAGTTAAACGCTGTAAAATATTCACATTTTGAAAAGGCAAGGCAGAGTGTAAGATATTTCTTAGACTAGGCTCTGCCCACTGCCTGGACTGGGTTCTCCATTGTAAATAAACAATGATGCCTACTCTATTCAAATAGGCAAAAATATTAACTGCTCTATAAAACACACTGAGTAGAGAGGACAGAACCAGACTACTTTGAACTGTCTCTTTTCAGCTTTGTAGTTCGGCAAATCTCCTTCTGGATTCATTTGTTATTTACTTCTCTCGACATCTTCCTGTGTATTGTTCTTGTCTTGATATTTGAGCTTTCTACAAAAATGACTACACTTTTGTATGGTCCTCTGATAACCTACTTTGGTAGTTTTCAAGGAAAGTATTTAGACTGAGAGTTGAGGTTGCTGTACCAGGACCATCAAATTAATACCTACCTTCCTGGTGGGATGCTTCCAATTTTTTTAGGGTTTCAGAAACAAGGATCATAGCAGCCTCATTCAATACATCCTCTTTGATATTCCTAATTTTATATTCCTGTGAATAGAATTTTTGAAGCATGCCATCTACTGCATACCGGTGATAAGAAATGAAATCACCTTCCCCACAACACTTGCATCGGTGAGCTAACCACTTCAGGTAACTGGCACATTTGAAATGCAAGGCTTTTTTCTGATTTTTAAGCCACAATTCATAGGCTGCTTCTTGCAACAGTGGTGTGCAAAACTCCATGATTTTGCAATGCATCACAGCTTCTTCTAGCTTGAGCCTATTGGAAATAACTGATCCAAGATCTGAAAAATAAGGTAGTCTTAGTATCTGCACCATCAAATAATGAAGTCATCTTGCATAAATCTACTGCTGTGTAACAATAGTTAATGTTCTATTTCTGATTAAATTTAAGAACATGACTACAGCAGCTAATTTTCTCATGACACTTATTCCCATTATGCTAGTGAACACAGTCTGATCATGGTGAATGCCTACTAAGATTTACTTGTCAAGGATTTATATGAAGACAGACATATCATAAAATATTACTTGATTTTACTTGACTACTGGGTGCTCCCTTTGTTCCTAAAAAAGCGAAGTTAATTTGTTTAAGATTTCAGCATCAATTTAACATGAAACGGATGTATAGAAGAATGCAAGACTGTTGTTCAATCATTTCCATGCCTTTTGAGTAAACTGATGTTTCAGAGGTTTTTAATTTTCCAATAACCAGCTTACCTGATTCTTGTCTAAGTGATTTCAATTCATTATTGCTGATGCTAAACTCTTTGGATAACATGTGCTGGGTTACATTCACTTCTTTTCTTTCACTACAACACTTAAAGATACGAGATTCCACCAGTGCTGCAAGAGTCTGGTACATCTTCCTTTTTGTCCATTCCGGGAGGATATAAAGCAGCATCTCTGTAGTGAATGTCACACCAATGACAGCTGCACATTTCACCACCATTTGCTCTGAAGGATTCATATTGTCCAGTGCAGCCAGAGCAATGCCTAACCACAAAGAAAGTCAAATTATGAAAAGAAAAGTGCTACAGTGTCTGAACTGGTCACAGTTTCCATTTTATCTCTAAATCTGCAGAAGCAACATTTAGGTATAGTGAGTTTACATTGCAGAGATTAAAAGACAATTGCAGAGATACACTATTCAGAGCTGGAAGAGAGAGAATTTTATTAAAAATATAGGATGCTACCCTATGTTACAAGGAAATTCCCAGAACAGGATATCTGGGAGGAGGGTTAATCTAACAGTGTCTGTCTGTCTGTCTGTCTATCTATCTATCATTTATTTATCCATCATCCATCCATCCATCCATCTATAGAAGACATTACTATGTGATGAAAGAACTGCCCCTTTTTACATGTGTTTTTCATATGACCATAAAAGGGTGAATGTCATAATGCCATCTTGACATTTGCACTTTTAATAGTTTTTACACCCCTTCCTCCCAAAATACTCATATTCCAAAACACATCCTTCTCTGTGATAACCTCTCAAGTATTAGAATACTTCTGTCATAATCACTCCTAGCCCTTCTCTTTGTTAGACTTATTAAGTCTTTGTTAGACTTAATATTTCTTTCCCATAACTTTTGCCAATCTTCTAATTTTATATTATATCCAAAGTTCTTTGCCCATGTTATCAGTTTCTTTTACTTGTTCTTCCTCCATCTTTAAGTTTAACAGAAATCTATAGAATTTCTTAATCAACTTTTCATCTGTTTTTAGCAGTATCTGATCAAATTCTGTCTGTTCTTTTAAAATCCAATTGTTTTAACATCTTTTTCATATCTCGTTTGGATTTGCAGATATGGCCACAATGCTAGATCAATACCTTGTTCTTGTAGATCTTGTCTGTCTTTCAATTTTCCTTCATTGTCCAAAATATCTTTATAAGTCACAACTTTATCATAGTTAATTAAATTTAGGCAAGCAAAAGCTTCCATTGTTGAAAGCCATTCAGGTATCTTAATATAAATTTTTTCTTTTATTTTTTCCCATTCTGAAAGTACATTCCTTATAAAATGGTTTTGAAAGTATCTATGTATTTTATTCTTCTCATACCACAGAAAGGCATGCCAACCAATTTGTAGGTCATGCCCCTCTAGGTACAATAGTCTTTTATCTCTAAGCATTATCCATTCTTTAAGACATGTTAGAATAGATGCTTGGTAGTATAACCTCCAGTCCAGCAGTCCAAATCCTCCACTTTCTTTCGCTTCTTGTAGCATTTTCACTTTAATTCTAGCTTTTTTTCCTTGCCAGATAAATTTCAATATTATTGTATTCAGTTCATCAAAAAAGGCTTTCCCCAGCCTTACAGGAATCGTTTGAAATAAAAAGAGTATTTTTGGTAAGATATTCATTTTCACTGTTGCTATTCTCCCCAACATTGAAAGTTGGAAGTTTTTCCACTTTTCCAAATCCAATTTTATTTGTTTTAGCAGTCTTACATACTTATCTTCTTTTATTGTTACACATCTTGCTGTTAGATAAATTCCCAAATATTTAACTTTTTTTAACTATTTGAAGATTTGGTTTTTTTGTTAGTTGATTTTTTTGTTTTTTTGTTAGATTCTTTGTTAGCACTTTAGTATTTTCTCTGTTTATTGTCAACGCTGCCACTTCTCCAAATTTTTCTATTTTCTCCAGAAGTTTGGTGCTTGTTTCAATCGATCTTCCAATATGAAAACCAAATCATCTGCAAATGCTTGTAGTTTATATTTTTCATCTTTTATCTCCAGTCCTTTAATTTCTATATCTTGTCTAATGTTTCTATTCAGTACTTCCAATGTTAGTATAAATAGTAATGGAGATAGTGGGCATCCCTGTCTTGTGCCCTTTTTAATATTGAAGTTTTCTGTAAGATCTCCATTTACAATTATTTTGGCTGTTTGTTTACAATAAATTGTTTTGATTACATATATAAAGTTTTTTCCGAAGTCCATTTCTACAAATTGCTGAAGCATAAATTGCCAGTTTACATTGTCAAATGCTTTCTGTGCATCAAAGCCATCTGTTTCCCTGAATGAATTTCATAGTACTCTAACACATCAAGAATCATTCTTAAATTATTTTTTTATCTGTTTTTAGGTTGAAAACCATTTTGGTCTGTATGTATAAATTCGATCAAAACTTTATTTAGTCTTTCTGCCATTATTGAGGCGAAGATTTTGTAATCTACATTTAATAGTAATATTGGTCTAAAATTTTTTATTTACATTAAATCAGAGTCTTCTTTAGGTATTAAAGTAATATTGGCTTCAGTCCATGTATTTGGTATTTTAGCCTCCAGGAGAATTTCATTACACAGTTCTTTCAAGATCAGACTTAATACATCTTGTAGTGATTTATAAAACTCTGTCGGTAATCCATCTGGGCCAGGAGTCTTATCCTTTTTTTGCCTTTTTATAGCCTCTATAATCTCCATCATTGATATTTTTCCATTTAATATGTTTCAAATATTCTCTGGAATTTTTGGTAAGTCTACTTTTTTTAAGTACTGCTGTATTTTTTCTTTTGGAATTTCCTCTGCCTTATAAAGTATCTCATAGTAATCGTTAATAATTTTTTTAATTGTATCATTTTGAAACTGTAATTCACCTTTTGGATCTTGCAGCTTGTTTATCATTTTTTTTCTCTTTTTCTTTTTTCAGTCTATATGCTAACCATCTCCCCAGCTTGTTGGCATTTTCAAAGAAGTCCTGTTTGGCCCTTTTAATCTGTTGAGCCATTATTTCCATCTCAGCTAAATTTAATTTATGTTTTATTATCTCCATTTGTTTCTTAAGTATTTTCTTTTGTGGATCTATTTGTAATTCTGATTCTAACTTTCTGAATTCTTCCTTCAACTTTAACTGTTGTTTCTTTTCTTTATTCTTTTTAGTGATATAAGTTATGGCCAACCCTCTGAAATATGCTTTAGCCATATCCCACACATTTTGAAGCGATGTTTCTTCTTTCTTGTTTATTTTGAAGAAAAAAATCCATTTCCTTTGTCAGTAGTTGTAAACATTCTTTTTCTTTCAATATAGATTTATTCAAGGACCATCTTAGTTTTTTCTTAGTTCCTCTCCAAATCATCTTTATTGGGTTATGATCTGCCCACACATTAATTTCTATCTCAATTTCTTGTATCATCGTATTAAGTTCCAAAGATGTCCATATCATATCAATTCTAGACCATGGTTTATGTCTATTTGAGTAAAATGCATATTGTAGTTTCTTTGGATTTTTTTTCTCTCCATATACCTTGGATACAGAGTTCTTCTGTCATTTTTAAAAATGCTTTAGGTAATATATTCCCTCCTTTTCTCCCTTGTTTGGCGCTTTTGTAGTCCAAAGTTCCATCTGTTATTGCATTAAAGTCTCCCATTATACAAAGATTTTGATAGTTTAAATCTAATATTTTATATAGTTTTTGGTAAAATTGTTCTTGTTTATCATTTGGTGCATATATTGCTACCATCAGTATCTGGTTTTGATCCATCATTATTTCCACCATTAATATTCTCCCCTCTTCATGTGCATAGATTTGTTTGGGTTTCATCGTTTCTTTAATGTATAAAGCTATTCCTCTTTTCTTTTGAAGTGCTAACGCAAAGTGAAGTTTACCAATTTTTGGTTGTTCTAACAACTTATAATGTTGTCTCTTAATGTGTGTTTCTTGAAGACAAATTATATCCATTTTTAATTTTTGTAATCATGTAAAGATTTTTCTCCTTTTTGAAGGAGAATTTAGTCCATTTATATTCATTGACAAAATCCCACTCTCCTCCATCTCTTTCAGTTATATCTAGGTCTTAATCTTCTAGTCGATCTTATCTGTCTCTGATCTCTTGGTCTTGCTCCTTCTTCTGTATATGTGTTTTTAATTTCTTTCTTCTCTCTTGGTTTGACTGCTTCTTCTACTGCAATTTCTTCCTGTTTCTTTATTTCTCTCTTTGTACTGGATTCAGGGTCGCCTCTTTCCAAAAATGCTCTATGGTTGTCGAAGAATTCCATTGCTTCAAATGGTGTGTCCAGTCTATATCTTTTCGTATCCCAGTATATTAAAATCCCTTCTGGAATCAGCCATCAAAAATTCACTCCTTTTTCAATTAATTTCCTAGTTAAAAACAGGTATTCTCTTTGGGATTCTCTTATTCTCCTAGGAATTTGTTGGAGGACTACAATTTCTTTTTCTTTATATTTCAAAGGTTCATCTCTTACTCTTCTCAAAATTTCATCTCTTATAGATCTTTTAAGAAATCTGAGATGTACTTTCCTGGGGACTTTATTTCTTCTAGCATAGTTTGAGTTGACTCGATAGATCTGGTCTAATTCTCTTTCCATTTGCTGTTTCCCAGTTCCTAATGTGTCTGCCAATAATTTGAATATCAAGCCTAGGAAATCCTCTTCCTTATCTTCCATTATATTTTGAAATCTTAAAAAGTATGAGGCTCTTTCCATCTCAATTCCAGTTATTGAGTCTTCTAGTTCTTCATTTATTTGGATCAACTTCTGATTTTCATATTTTAAAACTTCTAGTTTCTGGTCAACCTCAGTTGATTTATCTTCTATTTTTTGAATTCTTTGTTTATTATCTGTGATCATCTGTTTAAAATTTTCAAATTGAGAATCTATATTGTTAATTTTTTTATTCATTTTATCAAAATCACTTTTCAATTCCTCATGGTTTCTCGATGTGACCGCCATTTGAGTAGTGATTGCCTCTTGAGTGTCCTTTTGGAAGGTATTAGTCTTTTCTTGTTGAAGCATTGTATCAATTGATCTCTGATAGACTGGACTTGCAGAAGCCGAAGAGGGAGTAGAAGATCTTTTTTCCCCCAATTTTGGATAAGTTAGGAGCGCTCATCTTTATCTTTAAATCATATGTTGTAATCCACCAAGTAAGTCAAAATTTATAATCCAATAGACTCCTAACAAATAGGAGAGGTAAACCAATAAAAATAGTAAATAGTAAAAAAAGAGCAAAAGGGAAAAAAGAAAAAATAAGAGAAAAAAAATATGCAAATTTGTGATCCAAAGTATTCTGTTCAGAGGGATTTCTTGTTATTCACTCTTTCAAAAGAGCTTGTAAAGATTCCAGGTCAAGCTGTATTTGTAATCCAGGGAAGTCTGATGACTTCAAAGACAGTTTTTATTTATAACTAGCTGTATCCAGCCATTTGTTGCTGTGGCTCAGCCTGGTAAAAGTGTGTGTTGCTTTTATGTCCAACAGATGGTGCTGTTTTTCAAAAAAAGCATGTTTTACCTGTCACAGGTGTGACATTTATATAATATAGGTATATAAAAACACACGCATATTTGAATTGAACATTGTGTCAAAATTTCAAAGCAATCGGTGAAGAACTTTCGGAGATTTAAGATTTTGAACAAACGAACATTTACATTTTTATTTATATAGATTGTAATCCATCCTGTAAGACAGGGCAATCCAAAAAGAGTCTTTCTTTTCCAGCCATAATCTTCAGGACTTTAAAATCCAAGGACACCAAAATGTTTAAACTATAAGCAATGTCTGGGCATACAACCAAGTTTTACTCCAACTCAACTCAATAAGATAAAGGCAAAAGAAAAAAGCAAAAACTGCTGTAGTTCTCAGTTATGCGACTAGATGTCATTAGATGTCCATTCCCACCATACTTTGAAAAAGTTTAAGAAGTTAAAAACTCGATGGTTTCTAAACAAGAAATAAACAAAAAAAAGATTTATAAAACCAAGGGTTTTCCAAGTTATCCTTCTTTTATGCCTCAGTCATCTTCACAGTATTGTTATAAGTCAGTTTTAATTTCCCCAAAACTTAAACCACCACTTATAGTTCAGGAGGGAGAGGTAAGGAAAAAAATCCCTCCTCCCTGGAGCTTAGGGATTTGAATGCTGTTGAATGCTGTTTCCCAGAATCGGTATTTCCACATGTAGAGAGATAAGGAAAGTAGTCTCACCCAGATCAGCTGTTTTGCCTTCCGCTTTAAAATTTGTTGTCTCCGATGATCAGGTGCTTCTGGCAGACCGCATGGGTGCAGTCAGCCTTTCTTCCTGTCTGTCCCGAGGGCTGCTTTGGATCAAGCAGGCCAGCTACTGCTGGCCCACGATCTGCAAAATTTCACCCTTTGGCAAGTCACCTCTATGGGGCAACTTTTGTTCCTTTTGGACTCCCCAGCTGGTAGAAATCGGGCTTGGAGAAGGGAGATTCATTCCCCAGCGCCCATCTTGCAGCAACGTCACCGGAAACTCCAGTAATTTTTTTCTTGATACATTCTTTGCACTACTGCACAAAACCGGAAGCCTATTCTGTAACTGTTTTTCTTGCCTAAGTATAGGACCTTACTTTTCTCATCACCAAATGGCACTTTGTTGGCTAGGACTTTCCCATCCTCTTTAACATATATATGAAACCCCTGATGAAATCTGCAGCTTGGGATTCAGTATCATCATTATGCTGATGATGCCCAATTATATCTATATTTCTTTTATTGCAGTTCAGAAATGCAATAAATAAATAAATATCTTTTGTCCTTAAGCCAGCCAAGTAAGAGTGTCGAGATCCTGTCCCAGTGCCAAGAAGCCATGCAGATCTGGATGAGGAGGATAATTGGCTATGGATGAGGAGGATGAGTGGCTGTGGCAATTAAGATCTCTCCAGCCCAGGGATTTTTTACATATAGTTATGGACTATGTAGCACTTCTCCTTCTTGAAGAAGTGACAGCTGTAGCCAAGGGGGGCTGTGTACAGCTCCCTCTGATGTGTCAGTTGTGTTCTTCCTGGATTGGGAAGCCCTTCAGTCATGACTTGATTACTGCAATGCTTTGGGGTGAGATTAAAGGTGATGTTTATCAAGTAATCCCTATATGCCATAGGGACAGATTTTGAGGGATTATCTATTTCCCATGGTTTATGCCTGGTTGGTATATGCTGATAGAGTTGGCACACTCCATGTGCCTTTACACCGTGCCATCAATAAACTTTAAGAAAGCAGGCCTTTTCTGTCATGGCATCTGTCATCTGGAATGAGATCTGCCCTGAAATCTTCAATTGGTTGTAAGGCCTTGAACACCTGATTGTTCTCCCAGGCCTTGGGTAAAGATGGATGAAACCCCTTGGATGAAATTTTGTCTCTGTTTTTGTATAGGATCATCAGAGTTCATCTTTTTTGTTCTGTATTGTGATTTTTTTAATTATATTGTGAGTTACGCAGTCAGTTTGGAATTAGGGAACACCTACAATGAAATAACTAAAATAAGATTTCAAAAGTTGGAAACTCGCCATAGCCTTTGGTAAAATAGTGCTATCTGAAGTTTTGTGTACAGAATGTCTTAGGTTTTGGAACATCTTATATATGCTCTTAAAGCAGCTGCTTTGTCACTGCCTGGTGATAACAGACACTTGCCTAATTCCATACCTTTTAATGTTGGAGGGAGACTGATGGTGGTAAGCTTCACATTTTGCCTGACTGTGCAAATATATAATTCAGTCTCTTCATCTAACATTTTGGATGCATGAGTCTTGAGAACAGTAGTGGCTTGTAGAGGAGAATCATAAATGTTTTAGCATTAGCATTAATATTATTTTCTTCCACAAAAACATTCAGATGGCTATTATTTAAAAAAGTTGCTATAACTAAAATCACTATTTTAATATTATCATTTAACATTATATATTTAAACAGCTGGCAGTTATAGCAGGAGCTAGATTCCTATTGCTACTGAGAAATATATGCAAGATTATAGCCAGCTTGAAGAACTACATTACTATATGCCCCTTACAAAAATTCAAACCAAACCAAAGCTGTAAAATGTTTGCCAATTTTGAATATGTTTTCCTAATATTCAAGCTTCACATGGAATTACTGCAAAGTTCAGTATGCCCCAATTTATATCAATGAAATGAACTGAATGTTTATCATACATTATACAAGCAGGGGTGTACCAAAAGTGCTTTTCAAAATACAGTTGGACTTTCTTGTTTTTTCCTTGAAGTCGTTTTGCTTCTCATCCAAAAAGCTTCTTCAGAAGAACCGAAGAAGCTTCTTGGATGAGAAGTGAAACATCTTCAAGGAAAGAACAAGAAAGTCCATTTGTATTTTGAAAAGCATCTTTGGTACACCCCTGCTTGTATAGTGTATGATAAACATTCAGTTTGTTCAGTTCAGTTGCATTTTGAAAAACATCTTTGGGGCAACCATGACCTGGATGACTCAGAACTCCATAGACAAGCAAGGGTGTAACAGTTCCTTACTTTATCTAATTACATAATTACAAAATTACATAATAATAGAGCTTGGAGGTCTTCTAATCCAATCCCCTGCTCAAACAGGAGACCCCAGACTATTCTGGAGAAATGGCCTATCTGTTCTTGAAAACCTTCAGTGATGGAGCATCAGAACTTCTGGAGGCAAGCCACTGATTAATTGTTCTCACAGATAGGAAGTTTCTCCTTAATTCTAGGTTGAATCTCTCTTTGATAAGCTTTCATCTGTTACTACTTGTGCTGCCTGTAGGTGCTTTGGAGAATAGTTGACCCCCCATTTCTGTGTGAGAATCTCTCAAATACTGGAAGACTGCTATCATGTCACTTCTAGTCCTTCTCTTCATTAGACTAGAATAGCTAGTCCTGCAACCATTGATTGTAGGATTTAGCTGCCAATCCCCTTATGATCTTTGTTGCTCTTCTCTGCACTCTTTCTAGAGTCTCAGCATCTTTTTTGTACACTGTGTATTCCACATTTTATTATCTTACCAAGAAGCAGGTTGTGGTCTACTTTGTAAAATGCCTTACTGAGATCCACAGCATTTCACTGATCCACTAATTTAATCACTTTGTCAAAGAATACAATAAGATTAGTCTGGCATGATCTATTTTTTGACAAACCCATGTTTGCTTCTAGTAATATCTTTGCTTGTTTCTATGTGTTTGCAGCTCCTTGCATGATTATCTTTTCCAGGATTGTCCCAGGTATTGATGTCAGGCTGTTTTGTCTGTAGTTTCCTGGACCCATATATGAAGCAAATTGTTATGCCTTCACAGCCTCAATGATTTCAACAAAGCTAATCCATGTTACTTTGCAGAAACTGAAGTTTACTTACTATCATATTACTATGTGAATCTTGGATAGGGTTAACCAACCAAGAGCCCATACTATACATTTCCCAGAACATCTAAAACCACACTACAGAAAGTTGAATGTGGATTTCTGATTTATAGACGCACAATGCAGTGGCATGGTTAAATAGGTTTATTAAGCCTACAGCATCTATTTCTATTACAGAAAGCCTTCCATCCTGGAAAACTAAAAAACAGACTGAATATTTTTACTACACTTTTCTAATGATGTGACTGCATGTATGTTGTAATTGCTTGAGAAAGAAGGATCTGAATTATGAACCTCACTGATAATATTTCTAATTAGAACATCAGGAAGCAAGACACAATGATATGCCATCTGATATCTTGGTGACTATTAGTGTAGCAGAAGAGTGATAGTTATGATTTATTGCATGACTAGCTGCTCTCTTGCTGAATATTGCAGGTCTGTGACACTAGTGCCACCAAACATTCTGATGCACCCTGAATAGTCCCACATCATTCATAAACTGAGAATTGCCATGAAACTATACGATATTGATAGCCAATGATCAGTAGCTTACTAAAAAGGCTATCCCATTCATCCTCTTTCTCTTCATCCTCCTCCAGGACATGGAACTGAAGCACATTGTTTAAGTGGAGGTTTCGGAGAAGTTCTTCACAGTAAAATGGGTTTCCATGACTCCTTTGTATTAAAAATCTGTAAGTAATGTGGAGAGGGAAGGAGAGAGAAAGAGAAAGAGAAAGGGGGAGGAGGTGTGCAGGCAAACAGAGGGAGAATAATGATCATAGATAAATGTCAGGTTTAAGGCATAGTGTAATGCACTGTGCTGAATTACAATGGTGTTTCCAACTTCCATTTCAGCAGCAGGCAAGTTGTAAACATAATAAATTCCAGTCTTCCCCAGGCTTCTGAAACTTTAGTAGTTGTGCACAAGGCTACCTAGAACTGGTTGTAATACATGTTCACTGCTAGGGATCCCAGAGATGAAAACAGGCACTGTAGAGATTGCTCTCATTAGTTGGCATAGCGTAGGATTTTTTAAAGAAACAGCAATGGCATGGTTTACAAATCTCTCTAAATTCCAAGATGAAAGAAGCCGCATTAGTTTTTGTATTATATGTAACCCCAAAATAGTTGTGCTTTACTGGCATGGCCTGAGCTACTCTTTCTGAAGTATTTTGTAGATGACCTTGTCAGTTGAGCAAGAAAGTCTCTTTAACTTAGAAGAAGTCAGGTAATTTTGCTTGAAATAAAAGTTTCAGACTTTTTGCTTTAAATGATAACACTTTGCATTTCCTGCTGATTATCTTTGCCTTCAACTTAATAGGAACAGATAATTTCTTACTTACGTTTCAAGCTCCCTAGCAATACTGACCACTCCAAGGTCTTGGCAGGCTTTCTGAATAATTACTGAAGGACTTAATTCCCTTAGCTGAATAAAAGTTGTGCTTGGGTTATTCAGGATTTGGGCTGCACTGGAACAAAGTATTCGTCCCGTGTGATTGATAGGAGACAAAGCCATAACAACAAAGATCGGAACACTCTTAAGTAAGTTATCCAGGAAATCCCAAGAGGCTTTATCAATAAACTGAGCTTCATCAATTGCAAAAATGAGGACTTCCTTTTCTGCTGCCTAAAACAACAATAACACATATTGTGCACAGTAAGATGGTGCTATATCCAGAATCGTTGTCATCACAGTTTCTAGAATTCTTACTTACTGCTATTAAATGCTTCTACTAATGCTAAACTATACTCTAAGAATTTGCCATTCTTTAATCTTAGAAGTCTATGACTAATGTTGTTTCCATGCCTTAACTAAAACTGGTGATATTGCCAGAGGTTAATAGAAAGAACTGGATCAGTGTTTTCCTGGATCTGATCTACAATATGGATTCACTTGCATCCAGTGAAGTACATAAAATCAGTACAGGTTGTTGTGAAAAGGATAAACTCACTATGTTTATCAGACTCCTAGCTTAACACTCATTCAGCAAATGTTCGAAGTTATGATGGCATTGAAAAAATGGACATGTTTGGTCCTCAATTTTACAACTGTTGCCAAGCCCCTAAGGTCACATGATTAAAATTTGGGCCTGCCTGCATTTACAACTACCCCACACATAATGCTGCCACCAGGTGACTTTTCTTCCTGTCATTCTTCTTTATATGACCATTGTGTTTGTTGCAGCACTGTGGCTTCTTGTGGCAATGCTGGAGTGGCTGGAGCGTTATGCTGTAGTGAAATGTCATACTGCAGCAGTAGGATGCCATGCCATGCTGCAGCACTTCTCACACATTGGGGCTGGGGCTTCATGCTGCAATGCTGGGGCAGCATGGCACATGGTATCAGTAGAAGTGGCTTCAGGTCACAATGCACTAATGGGCCCTCACACCATGGCAATGAGATTTCTCATCATGGCACTGGGCCAAGTGACCATACCACAGCATAGTATTGGAGCTTTACACCATGTTGAGGTGACAAGGTGGCTTGCCTGGCATGGAACTTGAGGTGTCACTCCTCGATGGCAGTAAGGAGTGATGGTAGGCTGAAAGAGATAAAGGCCTGAAGCTTCTACTTCAGCTCAGCACAACCACCACTGCCAAAGAAGGCCACTGTGCAGAATGACCAAAGGGGCAGAGATGGGGGTAGTTAAAGAGGAGGCAGTCCCTTCGCTTGGAAAAAACAAGGCTCAAGACTGGGAGTGACCAAGCTAGGAATGGCTTGGATCAGGGCAGGTCTTTGCCTAACAACTACATGGGATTCACTTAACAATGGCAATAAAGACTGGCAAAACTGTCAGTGCTAAGGAGGCAGTCACATAATCTCTTGCTTAAGGATGCACCACTTAGCAATGGTGTTGCTGGTCTCAATTGTGATAATTAAGCAAGGACTGCATAGAGAAGATAATCACACCTTTATCCTTTATAGACCATGTTTTGCACAAGAAAAACCTTTACTTACATTAATCAGAATTTTTAAAAGCATCGTTTCAATCTCCTTATTCTTTCTGTCATTGTCCATTTGAGAAACCACTTCTGATGTAGGAAACTGAGCAGAAAAAGAAATAAATCTCATAATTATTTGATTAACAATATTTCTGCCAATAATACTTTCTTATAATAATTAGGTAACCCTGAAATCATTTAAACATATTTATCACATTTATTCATAAAATGAATGTTCAATTTGTAAATTGTTTTATAATTAGACATTCTGAGCAAATACTAAATCTGTGAAGCTTTAGCAAATGATCTCTACCTTTATATTGCCTTTCTCTGGCACTGTATCTACACCTGCTTTTCATTGCAAAGCATTCATAAGAGAAAAGATCTTCCATTCTTCCATCTTTACCTTAACATGAAAAAGGTTGTTGAAAAGGCATAGATATTGTTCTTCTATAACTCCACGCAGCTTGCTCAGAAGGATGTACTGCCTTGCATCATAGGTTTTACAGACATCCACCCCCAGGAACATTGCCATCAGTGTCCGGACAGCAAAAAAGTTGTGCCATGCATTTATCTTTGTCAGCTCCATTGCCACAACCCTGCTCAATTACATGGACAAATGAAAATCTTGACTTGAAAGTAATCAATCAGAAGCAGATTATTGTTTCAATTTGTGCAACTAAAACAAAAAAATCATACCAGTATTGAATTTTGGTACATTAACTGCAATGATTATATTGAAGAAGTTTTTCCTACATCATTAAGTAAGAAAATGTCTCCAGACATCTAGGAATATGAGGAAGAGCTTCCAGCTCATGCCTCTCATCTGAATATCAAGGACTGCCCTTACCTTCATTGTTTGATTGAACATTTGTGGGGTCAATGAAACATTTCCTTAGCTCTCTGCAATAATTTTGATTCATGCAAGATATTAATAAAGGACCCAGATTACTATAACAATTCCTTCCAATTAGTTATCTGCCTATTTAAAGTTTACCTTAAGGCTTTACTAAGGCGGCGTGATGGCTCTGTGGTTAAGACACTGGGCTTGTCAGTTGGAAAGCCAACAGCCTGGGTTTGAGACCCGAGTACCATGCGATGGGGATGAGCGCCTGTCTTCACCTAGTTCTTGCCCACCTAAGAGTTTGAAAGCATGTAAAATGCAAGTAGATAAATAGGTACCACTTTGATGGGCAGGTAACATTGCTCACTGACATCATGCTGGCTACATGACTGTGAAAATGTCTTGAGTGCTGGCTCACAGCCTCGAAATGGAGATGAGTGCTGCCCCCTATGGTCATCTTGACAAGCAGAGTAAAATTCCTTTCCTCCTTTAAGGCCTTACTAACAATAATATATGTGTACTAATATATCTTTGTGTATGTGTGATTTTACTTCTACCTTGGGTGAAAAAATGTGGACCTGCTTCACACATGAGCAAAGTTATAATACACTATATTTAATCTGAGCTAAATATGCTGGATAAATTCAGCTAATTATGAGTTTATTCAAAGAATAATGACTAAGTATACCATCAGTTAATAAATGTGTAATTCAAATCAAAAGCTACATATACAGAATATGCTAACTCAAATTTAGCGTTACCAGAATTAAAGCCTTCAGGAATATGAATACAAAGGAATTAATACTTTTTAATAATGAAATACAAAACATATAAAGGAAAGGAGATTACAAATGTTCAAGTTAGCTTTGAAAAGATTGAGGAACAAGAGACATTATTGGTGAAATATATTGGATGATAAAGTCAAAGAATATTCAGAAGCAGTTAATATCTATTTCATTGAAGGGCCTTTGACTGTATTGACTATGTCAAGGTGTGGAAGGTGCTTAGGAAAATGGGAACATTAGAACAGGTCATTGTCCTCATGTGAATCTTAGACAGAACAGGAAGCCACAGTACAGACAGAAATATGGCAGAACTGACTGGTTCCTGTTCAGTAAAGGAGTGAGATGAGATTAGATCAGACATGTCAAACTCGCGACATCATGTGACGTCACGCAATGTATCAGAGCTTTTTCGCCATTGCCGGCAATGGGGTGGGCACAGCTCTGGTATGATGAAACTGGCCTGCAGGCCGGAGTTTGACACCCCTGGATTAGATAGTATTCTTATTTATTCAGCAGATATCATGTGACTGCTTAGCAACAACAATCCTGACAGTCCCAGTTACAGTCATTAATCAAATCCCAGCCAGCTTTACAGAGGGACAGATCTCAGTCCAAGTCATTCCTGCCTCAGTCTCTCCCAGCCTTGAACCTTGATAAGGTAAAAGACTGCCTCCCCTTCAACTCCCCCCTCCCCACTTCTGCCCACTTGGCTGTTCTGCACCCTGAATCCTACTGCCTCTGCCGGCCCTTCTGCCCTTCACTTTGTGTGATCAGCAGCAGCAGGAAGAAGAAGATAGCAAAGGTCAGCTGTGGGCCAGTGGAGCATAGGATGGCAGGGCCAGCGGAGTGCAGGGCAGCAAGGCCACAGAGATGATGAAGTGCAAGTATACCAAAAGGGGAAGATAGGTGTGTGGGGGGGGATTTGAAGCATCCCTGTCATTGTAATTGTGAGTGGACTGCCAAATGCCCAAATTTTGATCACGTCATCATCTGGGCACTGCAATGGCCAGAATTTTGAGGACCAGACATAACTACCATTTGTTCAAAGCCACCATAACTTTGAATGACTGCCAAATGAATGGTCCTTAAACAAGGACTGCCTGTATATATATTATGGAAGCCAAGATTGGAAGAAGATTATGTGAATTTAAAACTGGGGGAAGAAATATCAATAACCTACATTATACTGATGACACTACTCACAGCAATATGAAAAATAAATAATTTCCAATGGTGGGAAACATGGGACTAAAATTAAATATAAAGAAAACCAAATTAATAACAGGTACAGAAATCCCTCTTTGAATTCCTAATGAAGATGCAGAAATGAAAGATAGTTTTACCTTTTTTGAAGACTATGAATTCTAAAGGAGCCAGAAGTCAAATATGCTACAGATACTAACACTGGTAGGGGAGCAATGAAAGATTTAGAAAAGATACTCAGATGTCATGTTGTGTCAATGTCTAGAAAGGCTGGCAATGGTTTTTCTTGTTATACTCTATGGAAACAAAAGTTGGACTTTGAAAAAGTATGATTTAAAAAATAATGCTTTTCTAAAGCTGTGAGGAAGAGGAAGAAACCCATAAATAAACAATTTATCACAGAAATACCATCAACCTCTAATGACCTCCTTTCAGGCCCATAGAGTCTTAGAACCACTGGCACTTGTCACTGCTCAAGGCTACACACACAAAACAATATACTTGTAATGTTCAGAACTGAGCCAGGACCAGGGAAAAATGAAAAGATTGGAGAGAAGAAAGTGAATTTCTGAAAATATGTAACCAACAGATTTAAAAAGCACCAACTTTTGTCCAGGAGCCTGTCCTAAATAGACAATTTCAGTTATTAGTTGGCTTTTTCCATATCCCATGAGACCTTCATATATTATAACATGGCTCAATTTAGATTCTTTAAAATTTTCCAGTAAGTTTTGAAAGATGTCAGTTTCCTTCTTGCGACCTGGAAGAAAATAATAAAGGAAAACAAAGAACAAAAGAATTATGTTGTATATTAAAACAGGCATTCACAAAATGAATTAGCTTTTGAATGAGAAATTATATCAAATAATATACCACTGGCTAAAGGGTTGGTGTCGCCAAGAAAACTTTGGTTTCCTGGACCATTGACTACATTTCCTATGTGAAGGACTCTTGGCAAGGGATGGGCTGCACCTCACTAAAACAGGGGAAAATGTACTTGGAAAAAGACTGGCCCAACTCATCAGGAGGGCTTTAAACTAAAATTGAGGGGGAAGGGTGACCAATCTTTAGAATCTCTAGAACACAAAATCAGTCATAAATTCCAAGAAAACAAATCAAGCAATGAGGTAGGGAGTGATGAGGAAAAAAGAAAAACTCCAAAAACAATCAGGAGATGCAGGAAACATATCCAAAGACAGGCATAAAGATCTTAAATGCTCATATACAAATGCTCAAAGCTTGAGGTACAAACAGGGTGAACTAGAAGCAATAGTACATGAGGGCAGGTATGACATAGTTGGCATTACAGAAACCTGATGGGACAAAATCCATGACTGGAATGTACTGATGGATGGATACAAATTGTTCAAAAGAAATAGATCTACAAAAAGAGGAAGGAGAGTTGCACTATATCTACAGAAAAGCACATGATCCAAGATAAAATCTGTTCAGAATGTATATGGGTCAATCTAAAAGGAAAAAAAGTGACATTGTCATAGGTGTATATTACAGGCCACCCAACCAATCTGAAGAAATAGATGAACTCTTTGCCAATCAGTTAACAAACAAACTTCAAAAGAGCTGATTTTAACAAACTCAGAGAGAACCTAGGAAAGATTCCATGTATGAAAATTCTAAAGGGGAAAACAACGCAAGAAGCATGGGAAACTCTGAAAAATATGATCATAAAAACCCAGTCCAGCACAATACCACTGAAAAAAAAAGCCAAGAAATTCAAGAAGAAACCAGCATGGCTGCACAAAGATCTCTCTGACAAACTGAAAGACAAAAAGGACAAGTACAAAAAATGGAAAGAGGGACACATAACTAAGGCTGATTATCAGCAGACAGCCAGAACATGCAAAGATGAAGTCAGGAAAGCAAAGGCTTAGAATGAACAAAGACTTGCAACAGAAATCAAGGACAATAAAAAAAATTTCTTTCAACATCTTAATAACAAGAAAAAAGTCAAGGAAACTGTAGGTCCACTAAAGAGAGAAGATGGCAAGGAAGTAACAGGCAGTAGGGAGAAAGCAGAACTGCTTAACTAATTCTTTGCACCAGTCTTCACACAAAAAGAAATTATAGCACAACATACCAAAAAAAATACTGCGAAAGACAAACTAGAAACAAAAATTAAAATAAGCAAGAAAATGGTAAGAGAACACCTATCCGACCTTGACAAATATAAATCACCGGGACCTGACAGATTACATTCCAGAGTTCTGAAGGAACTGGCAGATGTTATCTCAGAACCATTGCACCATATCTTTCAAAAATCCTAGAGCACTGGGGAAGTACCTGATGATTGGAAAAGGGCTGATGTGGTTCCCATCTTCAAGAAAAAAAACAGACCCAGGATCCTGGAAAAGATAATCAAAAAATAGATCTGCGAACAACTAAAAGCAAACAAAGTAGCCAGCATAGGTTTGTCAAAAACAGATCATGCCAAACCAATCTTATTTCATTCTTTGATAAAGTGACTAAATTAGTAGACCAGCAAAACACTGTGGGCATAGTGTACTTAGACTTTAGTAAGGCATTTGACAAAGTAGACCATAACCTGGTGCTTAGTAAGCTAGAAAAAGGTGGGATAAACAACAACACCATCAGATGGATCTGTAGCTGACTGACAAACCATACTCAGCAAGTAGTGCTCAATGGTACTACATCCACATGGAGAGAAGTAAGCAGTGGGGTACCACAAGACTCCGTCTTTGGCCCAGTACTCTTCAATATCTTCATGAATGACTTAGACGAGTGAATAGGAGAACTCATCAAATTTTCAGATGACACTAAATTGGCAGGAATAGCCAAAACCCAAGAAGACAACCTCGGGGTTCAAAAAGATCTTGACAAACTTGAACAATGGGCCCTATCCAACAAAATCAGTTTTAATGTGGAGAAAAGCAAAGTTTTACATTTAGGCAGGAAAAAACCAAAGGTTTAAGTACAGATTAGGCGAGACCTAGCTCAAAAAGAGCAACTGTGAAGGAGACCTTGGAATTCTAGTGGGTGATCACTTGACAATGAGCCAGCAGTGTGTAGCAGCAGCCAAAAAAGCTAATACAATCTTGGGTTGTATAAACAGAAGCATAGAATTAAGATCACGTGAAGTATTAGTACCACTTTATAAAACCCTAGTAAGATCACACCTGGAATACTGCAACCAGTTTTGGTCACCATACCACAAAAAAGATGTTGAGACCTTGGAAAAAGTTCAAAAAAGAGCAACTAAAATGATCAAAGGCCTGGAGACTAAAACATATGAAGAACGGCTGCAGGATTTGGATTTGGCTAGTCTAAAGAAAAGAAGAAACATGGGAGACATGATAGCAGTGTTCCAGTATTTGGGGGGCTGCCACAAAGAAAAGGGCATCAAACTATTCTCCAAAGCAGCAGAGGAAAAGACAAGAAACAATGGTTGTAAACTGACCAAAGAGAGAAGCAATCTGGAATTAAGGAGAAACTTCCTAACAGTGAGGGCAGTTAACCAGTGGAACAGCTTGCCTTCTGAAATCGTGGGCACTCCATCACTGTAGATTTTTAAGAAGAGACTAGACAGTCATTTATGTGAAATGGTATATGTTCTCCTGCTCAAGCAGGGGGCTGGACCAGAAGACCTCCAAGGTCCCTTCCAGCTCTATTGTATTCTATTGCATGGTTGTAATATTCATCACAGGTACTAAGCAGAAGAAATGTATATCTCTCTGTATTTATCTCTCTGTGTACATATGCATGCAAAACAACCACAACTTATATTTAGATAATATTGTGACCTTTTCTGAGATTCTTTAGAGAAACCTTTCAGCAATTTCCTTCCAGACATGTTCTTCTTCCATAGACAATAAATCCTGCCTATGTCAAAGAGAAAAATCAGCAGTGGTTGAAGGTTGGACAGCAGAGAAAAAATGGTCCCCTGTTTTGGATGTCTTCTAGTTCAACTCTCTGCCCAATGCAGGAGATCTTATTCCATCCCAAACAAATGGTTGTCCAATATTTTCTTGAAAACCTCCAGTGATAGTGATCCCACAACTCCAGGAGGCAAGTTGTTCCACTGATTAATTGTTCTCATTGTCAGGAAATTTCTCCTTACTTCTTGGTTGGATCTCTCTTTAATGAGCTTCCATCCATCACTCAAATTCTTCTCTTCATAAAGCTAGACATACCTACTTCCCTGAACAATTTTAGCCTCTATACTCCTAATCATCTTAGTTGTTCTTCTCTGCTCTCTTTTTAAGGTCTCTGTTGTGTCCTGAGCCTGCAGAAGCAGGCTCGGGATGATGCAAGAGTCCCGGACATTGCAAAAGCTGCCCAGGACCAGACTGAGTGGCGCCGGCCTTGCGCGCATGCGCGAGGCGGGAAAAGACTGCTTGCTATTGGTTGTGATTGCCCGGGGATCTGGGAGTATAAAAGAGGCCTGCATGCCTCTGCTCTTGTTGGTTGGTAGTTGTAACAGAGTGAGAATAAAGATCTGTTCAGTAACATGACTTGCCTCCTTTGCCATTTATCTCCGGACTTAACACTGGCGACGAAGGTGGGATTTAGTCTAGATAGCTAGGGAAGCTTAAAGACTCACCAAAAGAAGTCCGGAAGAGGGACGACGGCGTTGAAGTCAGCGTCTATCCTGCCAGTACAGCATCGCTGGAGAGTGAGTGCGGCTGAAGAAAACCCTGTCCCTTGATCATGGCGAAAACCGGTCGTTTATCTGAATTTGATGTCTCTCACCCGGAAAAATGGGAATCTTACGTTGCAAGGGTGGAGACTTACTTCCAAGTGAATCAGATAAGGGAAGATGGACTAAAGGCTGCCACAATGTTGTGCGTTTGTGGGCAAGACGCCTTTGAGATCGCCGAGAATCTAGTCGCTCCGGCCTCGCTAGAAGCTGTTTCATACTCTGATCTAAAGAAACTTTTGAAAGAACACTTCCAGCCCAAGCAATCTGTTATTGCCTGGAGGCACACATTTGAACTGAGAGATCAGCGAGCTGGGGAATCAGCAAAAGAATTTATTGCAGCATTGAGAAGAGCAGCTAAACCGTGCGAGTTCAAGGACTTAGAAGAAAGGCTGCGTGATCGTTTTGTATGCGGACTGAGGAACAGAGACTTACAGCAGAAGCTGTTTGCTAAGGAAGATGTCTCTTTCCAAGATGCTCTGCGAGAGGTTACGGCAGAGGAAGCTGCAGGCGGAGCAGTAAAGAATCTGCGGCCCATTCAAAGCGCTCCAGAGACTGCAACCATCTACAAGGAGGACGTGCGGGAGGACTCGGAAGAGGATCCTGAAGATGAAGTGGACAAGCTTTATCAAGCAGCCGGAAGGAGGCCCAAGGATCGTCCGGACAAAGGCCCAGCTGAGCTTTGATGCTTCGGATGCAGAGGTCACCACAAGCGGGCGGAATGTCGGTTCCGTTCTGCCATCTGCAGAGCGTGCGGCAAGAAAGGCCACAATGCAGCTGTTTGCCTGAATCGACAGAAGGTACAACCGAAGGAAGAATTGAATCTGAAAGGTACCAGGATCCCCAGCCAAAACAGGGTGGGTTTCTGTGCAACACGCAGAAATATATTAAGGATTGGCACACACAAGCCTCTTAAAAAGAAATTGTCCCTTAAAGTAAGGTTGCAAGGGGTTCCATTGTCTATGGAACTGGACACGGGGTCTGCCCTATCCATAATTTCCCTCAACACATTCCACAAAATCTGCAGCAGCAGTGGCCAGCAAACTACGCTCAGGCCTTCTAATGTAATTCTTACTGACTTTCAA